GTTTGAAGGTGAAGAGAAAGATACACCGAGAGTCGATAAAATTGGCGGTGAGAATTAATTACAGCGTAAACCTATGACATACCTCATCGTTTATTGTTATATCTCTGTTAATCCAGAAGCAAAATATATGGTATTTACTCTGTTATCTTGTCAACCCATGAGCAAATATTTTATAACGAATTTTTTTTTTTTTATTTAGGCATTTATTTTTTGTTAAATGAGTGTATATTTAAAAAAGACGACTTTTTAAACAAATTTTTGAAGGGCTGAAACCGAGATATTTACGTTTATATTTTTTTTCGGCCGTAAGGGCTAATGCAAATGATTTTTTTTTAAATAAGTATAAACAATTACTCCCTACAAAGATTTTATTGTCCATTTGACCTGTTCGGTGGTATCAATATCTGGATTTTTGATGATAGTGCCCTTCTGGACAGTCTAATTTTGTATTACCTCCGGAATAAGGGATACATGAAAAAATCAGCTCGTGACGAAAGAGTTAGACCAGAGCGTACTGGCGCATTCGTTTGCAAAATTGTTTTAATTCGTATTTTTTTTTTAAATATCCGGAAGGCTTGCCTAATTATAAAAGTGTAAGATGACACTCTATATTTGTTGTTGTTTAAACAACGAAAAATTAATTAAGCCAGAAAAAATGCATTTTTTGCAATGAATTATTTTTTTTTATATTCTTTAGGATATTTCGAATAAAAAAAGTCTTTGCGCTCATCATCGTATCTTCAACCCTTTAATTGTTAGGAATTTTTTTAAATCCAAAATTGACGAAAATTCTAATTTTCTTGAATTAAATAATATACCTTAAAATTTAAAATGCTATAATTTTAAATTTTTTATCGAATATTCAAACTATAGTAAACAAAATTAGCTAAATAAATTTTCAAAATTTTGTTTGTTGTTGTTTTTTTACGTTATAACAATATGCTTCCTACGCGCCACGATGCCACGAAAAAGATTGTTCACTAGTATTTTCATTAAACAACAAATTAAATCGCACCGTCACGTTATCGTTTCGATGAAGAGTTGCATTTTTTAATTTTAAATATGTAACAGATTTCGGACACTTCACTAACGCCTCGCCATGATCACAAAATAAACACTTTTTGTCGTCAGATAATATAATTTTTTTTGAAATTAAAGAGAACGACATTATTATTCAGAAAATTGCACGACTGCAAAGTAAACCAGTAGATGTAGAATCGAGCATGACTGAAAGAGACTGAGACAAAAATTCTAAGGTAGGGTTGAATTTTCTATTTGGAGGGTTGTAAAAATTGTTTATGACAGGCAAAAAAAATAGAAGAAGAGTTAAACGTACAATTTTTTCAAAATACGAAATAAGTCCCTTTACCTATTTGTATTCATAGTGCAAAAGATTAAAAATCATAAAAAAATGTTATATTTATAGTACTTACTCTCAATATTAGAAAAAAAAATTGTTTTCCTTATTTTTGTTAAATGGAGAAAGGCTTGGATATTTTTGAAATCATAAAATTTTATAACCCCAGTAAGCCTACTATGTTTATTGTAAAAGGTAGAAATTTTTCACGAATCACGACAAGTGCATTTGGCCTTTTTATCGTATTAAAAAAAAAGGTTGAAGAAGATTTTACTTCTCAGGCAGTATCTGACAATAATTTTTTCATGAATAAAAATAAATGTTTCTGTTAACTTAACTTAATAAAAAAGTTATCAAAAGTATCTAAAAAAGTAAAAAAAAACCACATGACTTATTACCTCTGAAAAACAGCAAAAAATTGATTCAGCGCGTCATCGGGCTTTCTCTTAACCATCTTATACATTGAGTTGGAAGTGAAATAGAAGTACTTCTCTCTACACGCGCGTAGGAAGCATATTGTTATAATGTAAAAAAAACATAACAACAAACAAAATTTTGAAAATTTATTTTGTTTATTTTGTTTATTGTAGTTTGAATATTCGGTAAAAAATTTAAAATTATAGTATTTTAAATTTTAAGGTATATTATTTAATTCAAGAAAATTAGAATTTTCGTCAATTTTGGATTTTAAAAAATTCATAACAATTAAAGAGTTGAAGATACGATAACGGACGTAGGGACTTTTTTTATTCGAAATATCCTAAAGAATATAAAAAAAATTAATTCATTGCAAAAAATGCATTTTTTTGCCTTAATTAATTTTTCGTTGTTTAAACAATAACATCAACAAATATCGAGTGTCATCTTACACTTTTATAATTAGGCAAGCCTTCCGGACATTTTAAAAAAAAAATTACGAATTAAAACAATTTTGCAAACGAATGCGCCACTATGCCCTGCACTAAGTGGGAGGTAAATCGTTTTCTAGAGCGAATATTTTAATACATACACTCTACTAATATGACAACAGCGGATATTATACCCCTCTGTGTCCCTTAGAATATCTTGTTCAGGACCGCACGTTATTTGTTAGTAGTTACATCTCCTCGTTATCTCTGGTTTTTACCTAAATCTGTACTGAAATATTTTTTCTTTTATTGTGAACTCTCAATATTTTGATCAAGAGCCGCCACTGTTTTTACAGTAATTTTGAATTATTTTCTGAAACACCGTCTATCTTATTTTTGTTAAAAATATACCCCTCGTATATTAGTTAACATCACATAGTTTTTAAAATAGCAGGTTGATATAAACAAAGAAATGTGAAAGATAATCTTCCGCCTCCATCTTAAACTTGCTTTATTGACCTGGAATTTATTGGTTTTGTTACAAGTACGAAGCATATTATTCTCTGTGCCCTGATTATTTTTGACATGAGTTGTTGCATCTATAATTTTGTTTGTGAATTGACCTTTTACCTTTCGTGGCAGATAGATGATTATGTACAACGATGGGCTTGGGCGTTTCGATGGTTAAGGAAAACTTTCTCGATAAGGGAGTTCCTAAATTCTAAACCACTTTATGACTTATGAGACCGGTCATGCAGGAAGTCCAGTGGCAGAATAATGTAAAGTTTTAAAAAAAAACGATTCAAGTGGAACAATATCAAAAAACTTTACGTTGTTCGAGGCAAGATATATTTAATAAGATTGAAGAACTGAAAGTGTACAGTCAAAGAAATTATTTATTAAACAATAGCGGGTTGCATAAAAAAAGAATAAATTTTAAACCCAGGATAATTTTATTATCTCTAGATCAGAATATCCTATGATTTTTATAAACAAACCACATTTTAACCTTTTTGAAAGCAAATTGAACGCTTTTTTAAAATAATTAATCATTTTTTAAAAAGGTCCATTCTTAAAAAAAATCTGAAGTAAATACTAGGTTAGGTTAGGTTGAAAATGAGTGGGATGATCTCATCGCCTTCCACTGCGAGTCACTCTAGGGTATTTATACAGTTCCAAACCAGCTTTGAGTCAACTCGATTGGAGCTCAGGGCCTTAAGGGCTGCCTGGCTATCTGAAAAAATCTTTATAGTCCTGTTTGCGGGTAGAAAATTAATTAACGTTCTTGCTCCCAATTCTATAGCAATCATTTCTGCTTGGAAGATCGTGGCCAGAGAGCCTAGTTTTATTGATATGTCAACTCTAGTCCTCTGGCCGAAAACTCTCGCTCCTACTCCTTTTTCAGTTTTGGAGCCGTCCTTGTACAACGCATAGTCTGCCTGGGAGAGGGATTTTTCACCTCTGCTCCATGCGTCTCTCTCTGGAATGAGGACGCTGTATGGCTTTTCTATGTTCTTTCCGGGAACTAGCGAGTCCGAGACCATGCCAAGGATGGGCTGATTATTAATTTCACTCATCAGCCTCGTCTTGTCCCATCGCAGTTCTTCGTAACATTGACTACCCACTTTCAGGAGCCTGTAAGAGACCATTCTGGCCTCCCTTTCCAGCAGAATGTGGAAAGGGGTTAGGTCCAGCATGGTTTCAATGGCTCCCGTAGGTGTAGTTGACATTGCTCCAGTTATGGCGAAGCACGCAAGCCGCTGTATTCCATCCAGCTTCGCTCTGGCCGTCCGTCGAAGTCCTGTATCCTACCAGATGACAGAGCCGTACGTAACTATAGGTTTTACCACTGTTTGGTAGATCCAGTAGATTAGTTGAGAACTGATCCCCCATGCTTTGCCGCATATCCTTCTGAGGGTCCAGAGGGATAATCTGGCGTTGTTTATGGTCTTATCCAATTGGGGGTTCCAGGTGAGTTTCTTATCTAGGGTGATTCTCAGATATTTCACCTCCTTCACAAAAGGAATGATTTTTCCAGCCAAGGTAGGTTGTCGAAGCTTGTCGAGCTTTCTTTTCTTAGTGAAGGGGCTAATAACAGTTTTGCGGGGGTTAACAGACATTTGCTCCCTCTCGCACCATCTGTTGATCGTATTAAGGGCTTGTTGAAGGATGTTGGAGATCATCTCTTCGAACTTTCCCCTAATTATGATAATCAGATCGTCCGCATAACATATGTCACTAAAGTTTTCGGAAATGTACGATTTGTTTTATTTTAAAACCAATTTATCTATGTGTCTGTGGAAAAACAAACGCAGGTATACGTTATTGATTTATTTGACATTTTAGTTTTGTGTTTTTTTGACATCGTGGCTTACAAATTGAAATTAAGACGAAGCATTTATAACTTAGTTGGAAAAATGCCTAAAAAAGAAATTGTAAATATTTTTCGAAATAAAAATATTTCAGTGTCAACAATTTATCAAGCAATTCGTGAGTGTGAAGAAGGAATACCGTGTTCTAATTTGCCAAAAAGTGGTCGACCACGGAAATTATTTGCAGTTTAAACCAGTAGATTGGTTTAAGTCACCAAAAACACCATTGGTCCATCCACACGAAAGTTGGGTTGTCGTTTTGGCATATGTCGAATGACTGTTAGTCGCGAATTCAAAAGAAATGTCTTAAAATAAAGAAAACGAATAAAATGCCTCAAGTATACTGGTAATCAGTTAGACATAATCCCAAGATATTGTCGATCTTTACGAACTCGTCACTTCGTCAATAATAAAATTCTAATTATGGACGATGAGAAATACTTCACATTTGCTAACCCGGAAATTCTTGGCCATAGTGGATTCTATACAGATAATTTTAATGACTGTCCTGATAATGTGAAATTTAAAGCGAAGGCAAAGTTTGAGGATAAAATCATGGTGTGGTGTGCAATTTCAGAAGCAGGCGTTTCTAGACCATATGTGGGTAGTGTTAAAGGTTAGGCGGTTGATGCTAATGTTTATACACAAAATTGTCTTCCAAAATTACTGAATTTTATTAATATATATTATGCTAACGACGAAATAATGTTTTGGCCTGACCTAGCTTCTGGTCACTATGCCCACGCAACAAGACAGTGATTAGAGGCAAACCACATACCATTTGTGCCCCGTAAAGACAGCCCTCCTAACGTATCCCAGACTAGACCGATCGAAACTTTTTGGGCATTACTTACAAGAAAGATATACGATAATGGATGGGAAGCCCAAACTCAGGATCAATTGAGGAGAAGAATATATCAGAAGGTACGCGAAGTAGACTTAGAAGCTTGCCAAGCGTTTATGAGGCAAGTCAAATCAAAACTGCGCCGCATAGAAGAACACGGGCCACTATCTCTGTATTAATTATAAGTTTTAAAGCTTACATTATATTTAGTATTGTAGTGATAAATAGTTTAAATAAAACCACAGTATTGTGCATTCAATTTTTTTCCGAAAACTTTAGTGACATATGTTAGAATTGGAAATCTACCCCCTGTCGGGAGAGATCGTCTAGCAGGTTATCCACCAAAATAGTCCCAGTAAGGGTGAAAGTACGCCACCTTGTAGATATCCTCTGGCAGGCCTAAAAGTGGCAGTCTCTCATTGCAGTGATGAAGTGATGTTCCGGTTTGCCAGCATGCTTTTGATTCAATTACAAGTTAGTTTGTCGATTCCTCTTTTTTCAATAGAGGAGAACAAGGACTAAGAAAGGGCGCTGTTGAACGCGCCTTCTATGTCTAGAAAGGCACCTAGCGCAATCTCCCCGTGATTTAGGGTATGGCTGATTTTGCCTACTAGATTGTGCAGGGCATAATCTGTCGATTTGCCTGCTTGGTAGGCATATTGAGAGGAGTTTAACGGGTTTGCCCGAAAGCCACCTTCTTTAATATGCCTATCTAGGATCCTCTCTAGTGTTTTTAGAAAAAAGGATGTTAGGCAGATTGGACGATAAGAGTTTGGTAGGGAGGTATCTACTGTACCAGCCTTGTGTATATACACGACTTTTGCCAACGTCCATCCTAGTGGGATATAGCTCCACGCCAGGCTTGCTCTAAACAACCTCACAAGGAGGGGCAGCAGGAGTTCCTGTCCTTTTTGTAAAAGGGCCGGAAAAATGCCATCCTCTCCGGGTGATTAGAAGGGGGAAAATGAATTCATCGCCCATTTCACGGCGTTTGGAGAGACAATTTGTACAACAAAGTTCCATTCCTCCTTTTTGGGTCGTATAGTCGATTCCGTTAAAGAAAGGGATACATGTTGCCTGTTCTCCAGGATTCGACTGCCTGGGAAGTGTTTCTGTAAAAGAATCTCTAAAGTTTCCTTACCAGAGTCCGTATAGGTGTTGACGGGTCTTTTTATCGAGCCGACTTCCTGTCTCGGATCTTTGGCGAGAATCTTATGAAGTCTGGTACTTGCAGGTAAATCTGATATACTCTGACAGAACTTCCTCCACGATTCTCCTTTGGCCTTTCTGATAGCCTTGTTGTGTTCCGATAGAGATTTGTGGTATTTTTCCCAGCAGCCAAATTCTTTAGCTAGCTTGAATAGATGTCGAACTTCTTTTCTTTTTTGGTCGAGGCTTCTGCTCCACCACGGACTACCCCTCTGGTCTCTTTTTAAGTAAATACTAGATTAGTACGCTAGTTTAGAACGCCCTGTACATGAAATGCAACAAAAAAGCTGGTATTCGTTTGTATCATTAAAAAAAGATTATTTATCGTAAAAATTCTAAAAAAAAATTATTTTCTCCACCCTGTAACTTCTTAAGCAAGCAAAATTCTACAAAAGTAAATTGGCTTAAATGAACCTATTTTTAACCAAACCTATCACATCTGAAGTTTGGCCCATTCTTTACAGCATAAGTAATAATTTTGCGAAATTAATGAAAGGGTTAATAAATAAAATACAATTTAAACGTTTATTTGTAAATATATTTAATAAAAATTTATTTAGCTAGAAAATTAGTTAAGACTTTCAAATTTCGCTTTACAAATTAATTAAAGTGATACATTGTTTGTCACCATGTAAATTCATGAATGTAGAAAGGATTTATTTCAAGTTTAATACTAATTTTAGCCCTTAAAAACGTTTACATTCAAATAATTTACCTCACCATTATGTGCTTAAAACTATATATTTTAAGATAACAAAATAATACCAATTTTACTTAGTCTTTTTTTTTTTTTAGTATAATATTTATTTATCTTGGCTTGCTATTTTTTTTTTTTTTTTTTTAATTTAAACCAAACAATTTTTTTTTTCAAGGGTGTTTTAAATTGTAATAGGAATACTTATTTTATTTGATCTTCTTTTATGTAGTCTATTTTATTTTTATTTTAATTTTAGTTTAATTTTATTTTGGGTTTATTTTAATTTTGTCAATAATCAACAACTTGCTTTAGCCTGTATATTCAATAATAAACAAATTTTCAAAACCAAAAATATAACATTTATTTTTAAACTCATAAATTGTCAAAACACCCCGCTATTTATATTCATGGGGGTTATAATGAACTATATCCTAAATCTACACTAAATTCATTCACTTTTTATTCATATCAAATACACTATATGCTAAAATTAAAATCTACAAAAAAAAATAAAGATAACCAATGTCTTTTCTCACACAATTAATTCTTAGTTCTTGATCTAATCTCTTTGGAACACAAGTCACCTTACATATCTTTATACATATATATTTGGTTATTTAAATTTGTTTATTGTAATTTCTTTTCAATATCTTTCAAAAAACTAAATCTTTCCTTTCCAAAACCTTTGACATTTTTTTTTTCAAATTGACATTTTCAAAAACAACCCCAAAGCTAGAAACCATCCTTTCTACCTACTTTCACTCAAGACTTTTCTATATCAGTTTTTAATATACAGGGTTAGTTATTATTATTGATGTGGATATTTTTATTAGTTTTAGTATTATTTGGATATAAGACGTTTTCATTACAATATATTTCGTTGAGCTTTCCTCCTTCAATATAGTATACAGGGTATTTGGTAAACATGCTACAAAAATGCAAGGAAATTATTCCTTGGACTATTCAAACAATATTTTGTTATTAGATGATTTGTGAAAACCTGCTTGGTTTCGAAGATAGAGGGTGAGCAAAATTTCGACAGTAACATTTTTTTTTCAAAAAAAGTTGTTTAATCTACAATTAATAATAATAATAATCCACCGTTAGCCGGAATTTTTTCATTTAATTTAATTATTTAAAATTAATTCTGATGCCTTGGTAGGATTCCCCACTCGACCATTCACTGTTGGGTTCTAATTAACAGTGCTGTTCCTAAAGTGGTGCTGGGGAAGCCTACACAGAACACGAGGCGAAATAACCTTAGCAGTTGAAGCCGATGACACACAAAAAAAAATAATAATAATAATCTTTATTCAGCATTTTTGTTTTTATGGTTACATCATAGTTATAGGTACATTTGAATAATTTTAAATTAATAGAGTAATTGACATAGGTGCCTTATTCATTAAAAGTATTTGCTGTCCATTTATGACCATATGGTTGCGCATGTGCTACCGAATTACTAACTTTTTTTTGAAACCATTTTTTTAAACAATTGTTTTATAAATATGTAGGTTACATTATTAAAGTTTGACTAAACAATAACTGAACAATAACAATATAAAATTAGCTAAAAAACACATAATTTAAAATACATATGAAATATAAATAATACAGATGTACAAAATAAAAATATCAAGTAAAAAGTATACAATTACAACTAAATTATAATTCATATTTAATAAATTATTTCTCTTTGGGTTTTCTATCCGAATTAATAAGAAATTTTTTAATGATATATTTAAAGAGTTCAACGGCATTTATGATTTATAAATCTGCCTTGTACATATCCGGAAGATAATTAAAGATTTTTGCACTTAAATAAATATAAAAACGTTGTGCTATTGTTTTATTTACAAGGTGGGTACTAACTTTTCCTTTATCCTTGCTTCTTGTATCATAGTTATGGGTAATTTTGTTAATTGTTTATTTTTGTAGATTAAAATTATGACTGAGTATATGTATAATTGTCGTATATCCATTATTTTTACTTCCTCGAACAATACATCTATTGGGTATCTAACTTTTTTGTTGTATATTATTTTTTAGAATTCTCTTTTGTAATATTTCAAGTTTTTGGTTATGTGATTTTTGGTTGTAGCACCCCAACAGACGATTGCGTATTGTACACGACTTTGGACTAAAGCATAATAAATAGTTCTTAGGTGAGTAACTTGTAAAATATTTTTGAGGTATTTAAATTTAAATAAAAGAAGTCTTAAGGTATTTGTTAAGTTATTTATATGTGCGTCCCAACGTAAATGACAATCTAGGGTAACTCCTAAATATTTTATTTAATTTTTTTTCCAATGTTATTTTCTTTTTATTATAAGATAAGCTAATGTCACTAAATTGAGGTAGATTTTTAGAGTAGCTGACAAATGGTAAAAAGAAAGATTTTTTTGTAGTTAATGGTCAATTTTTTATGGGAACACCAGACTATTATTTTCTTTAAATCTCTTTCAGTTTTCCGTTTTAGATCGTCCCAAGTTTCACTTCGTAAAAAATCGCATTGTCATCTGCATAACTTACTATTTCTCCTGTGGTATGGAAATTATATAAATTGTTTACATATAATGTAAATAAAATGGGACCTAATAAAAATCCTTGAGGAACACCGCTTTCTATTGGCCTCTCATCACTGATTTCATTATTGATTTTAACTTTTTGAAATCTATTGTTCAGATAACTATTAAAAAGGTCAAAAGTTTTTCCACGTATCCCTATATCTTCCAATGTCTCTAACAACTGTATGTGATCTATAGTGTCAAAGGCCTTGGCTAAATCCAGGAAAACAGTTAGACATGGTTTTTTGCAGTCAACAGAACTATAAATTTTTTTAAACAACTCACTGTTGCTGAGAGCCCGTCTCAAAACCCGAATTTTTTGTTTGAGATGATCTTATATTTATTAAGGTAATCTTTTAAACGTAAATTTAAGCCTTTTTCTGCTATTTTTGTAAAAGTTGTTATTAAACTAATAGGTCTGTAGTTTGTAAACATACTTTTTTTTTCTTTTTTAAAGATTTTTTTAATTCGGCTGGGAACTCACCTTTATCAAACATTTTATTAATTAGGTCCATCAAAAGTGGTACTAATGAATCAGATTTTTCTTTTACTAACTCTGAGGAAATATTATCTATTCTAGGTGTTTTTTTGTTCAAACGTGAATTAATGATATTATTTATTTCTGTTTCAGTTACTGGTAGTAGCGCAAAAGAGTTTTTGTGAATATTTCTGACCGGAGGTGGTGAGTTTGGATTATCTATTTTATTTGATGTGCCTATTTCTGAAAAAAATTGATAACTAACTGCAATTGCAGTTCTAAATATACATTGATAAGATATAAAAAAAAAACAATAAATGTTCAAAATGGCTTCCTCCAGCTTGGATACAAGCATTCAATCTTCTCATCATTGCCTGTCGCAAATTTTGTTCACCCTGTATCTTCAAAACAAAGCGAGCTTTTACAAATCATCAAATAACGAAATATTCGTAGAATAGTCCAAGAATAACCACTTGCATTTTGCTGCATGTTTATCGCACACTTTGTATATCTTATTCAGTGAATATTACAGATATGTGTCTGAAATTATTAAAATAATACAGAAAGCAGCATAAATAAATCACTTATAAATTTACTTCTTACCTTTCAATAACTTTTTCTATATTTCTAGTAACTTTTTGGCTCTTATAGGTCTCTTAATTTAACTGATCCGTATTTATCCATTTATATATTTGTTTTATTATTTTCTCAAATATATATTTAAAACCCAATTAAAAAACAGACACACCTTTCACATGAAAGTGACTTTGCTTATTACTCCTCATTCAATCGTAGCATGATAAAATAAACCTGTATAGATTAAAAAAATAAATTATCAAAGAGATTTACTACTAGTTACATATTGTGTAATGGCACCATTTTTCTAATTTCACGGACATAACTAACTGCAATTGTAGTTCTAAACATGCATTACTAAAATATAAAAAAAAAATAGAAAACTAAGAACAGTTTTCGTTACTGTCATTTATATCCAGCAACTTAAACCAGTTAGCCGTGAAAAAAGATTTATAAATTACGATTCAAAATTATTGGTCTCCTGCATTTATGAGTTTGCAGGAAATCATTTTTCAAAATAAATTACACCACGAAAGCGACATCTCCTTTATAAAATTCGAAGTATCTGTTCAATCAGCACCCGACAAAACGGTACTTAATAACATATTTTCGACCCGTTAATTGTTTACTATTCAGATTTCTGTCAATTATAATAACACGATGGTTTCCAATGGCATTAAATCAAGACCCAACTACCAATGTATCTGGACATAAGTACTTTTGATTTTATTACTGTACTTTATGTACACAAGCGGTAAATGATGAAAATAAATTTTAACATTTTTATTGAATATTTCGAAATAAAGATTAAGGTTTTGATTAAAATGTAAATAAAAATAATGCTTCTAGAGATTATTTCTCTTTATTTTGTATTAATTTTTATTTGTAAATTGAAGCAAAATATTTTTATATATATTTTTATTGAAAACAAAAAAGTTTGGAAAATAAAAAATCGGAGAGTTGAAAATATCACCATGTATTTTATATGATAAAATCAGATATAAAGATAAAAATTAACATCTATTATCTATTATAACATTCGAAATGAAAACAATAATCAAAATATATAAGTTGAAATACAAGCAAATATTTCATTTATTTACTTCTTTGTCCAGTAGGATTGGTAATTGAACTTCTACGAGAAAACAAAAAAAAATTACACCAGCATGCCGTACAGATAAAGGTAACTGTTTTCACAGATATTTCATTACAACATATTTATTATGTTGATATAACAAGTAATAATATATTACTTTTTCTAAAGCTAATTTCATGTTAAGGAGCTTATGTAGAAGCCAGCCAATATATTGGCAAATTGTGGTGAGCTTTTACAATTTTCGTGACTAAAATTTTTAATTTCTCTTGTATCCATCACGTTTTCTTACGATTGGACACTTAAAATTTATTTTGATATATGATAGAAACATTATATAGGTACTACAACTGTACTATTTTAAGATTACTTTAATAAGAGTAATTTTCTTGTCTCCGTTGAACATTTATACATAAAAATACATCTTAAAAAACTTACTCAACTTCAACTGAGTCGTTTTTCATAATACTCCTGTATTGTAAAAAAACTGAATTTAATAAGAACTATAAAACCCATTTAATTTCCTTCTGAATGTAAATATTATTTTTTTATGAAATATTGGTATGATTATTAATTGAAAATAACTGTTATTATGAAATAAAATTTCCTAAGTGAACCTAGGACTAAAACTAGGTACAGTCGCTATCGAGAGCTTAGAGTTTTTTGGTAAAGTAATTTGTCATTTGTCAAATAAATATTGTTATTTTCCTTACATAACTCCTATTGCCAGTGTAAGTAAAACCCCAACTAGGAAGGGATACTGGTAGATGCCCAAGCCCGACAGGGCCCCCAAAACGCCGGTTTCTGGCTTTGAAACAACATATACAAAAAGACTGAAAATTAGATGCCGGCCTAACTACGAAGAAATCAATAGAATCGCTAAAATCAACAATCCCAACGCATTCAAGGCAAAGCTAAAGCTAAATCCTCCAACAAACGTGAGTACAACACACATACCACTAACATACTATAACACAGGGATCAGCTATTCTGAACCCCTGTTTAAAAAAACTCCGAAACGACCTTCAAATGACTCCGAAACCTTAGTAAATCTAACGAACACAACAGATAATACCACGGCAGATCAAGTTACTCCGTCAAAATTGGAGAAAACGCAAAGTACTATTAAAGACAGCGCGGAAAAAAGCCACGAGCAATTCTATAGCTTTGTTAAAAGTAGTGACGAGGAAATCTCTGAAAATACAGACGTAGTCATGGAACAAAACGCCATGGACGAAGACACGGATAAAAACCAATATGCCGCAAAAACGGATGAGGAAAACCCCCGCTCTTTTGAGTTGCAAAAAATTTACCACCAAACAAACAAAAAGATGATGATTTTAAATCAGCATATGTCTCCATTCCATCCACAGGAGGACTAAAAATCACGATTTGATGGTAAAAGCGGACCAGAATTTTCAAGCGATGAAAAGCAAACCCCAATTCTGAATCAGACAGTGATTGAGCCAATTATACATGAGTTACCGGACCAACCCAATGAACTAACACTCCCTGATGAAAGAACACAACCCCTACCACAGGTACAAGCACCAAAACCCACAACAGTAGAAACAGATCCCAAACCCATAGAGGAGGAGGAGAAAACCTCCCCTAATAGTACTTTCTCGTTTCAAAGGAATAAAAGAAGCCGAAGGGATAACGCAGAAAAAGACAGAAAAATAGATCAATCAATGCCCCACCGAAAATTAGTGCCAACCTTAGAAGGGTTTTCAAACAAAAAGTTATTGCGTCAATGCCCAAACCGATCACGCTAAAAACAGATACCATGTTTTAACTGATGAATTCGAAGATGAAGAAAGTGAGGAAGCAATGGAAAAAAGAAGGCAGGAAGCCAGAAAAGAAAGAAGGGACTGTAAGAAGGGTGGCACAGAGACAGCCAATGATACAAATAAAAAAGATGAGGTACAAACAAAGAAAAAGACAAATATGTCCCCTATCGTGCTGGAGGGAGTCCCAGAGGACCATAAAGGACTCACAGGGGTACTCAGCGGTATAATAAAAGGCAATTTCAATATGAAGTATACCAATACCTCAACTATAGTATTCACAGAAAATAAAGCAGACTACGACAATGTTATCAACGTCAAAAAAGAAGAAATGGCATACTGCACGTATTTGAATTTAATAAAAACTATAAAATCCATTTAATTTGCTTCTAAATGTAAATATTATTTTTTTCATGAAATATTGGTATGATTAGTAATTGTAGATAACTGTTATTATGAAATAATATTTCCTAATTTCCTAAATTGAAAAACTATAAAAGTAACGTTTTTCTCAAACTACAATTATTCGATATTTATCAATTAATTAGTAATTAGTCTTAAAACCCTCAAAAAGCTTTGGAATAACCATATTGATTAACAATAATAACCTCAAAAAAATTATATAAGAGAAACTCAATAAAAAAAACAAATATATAAAATTAATACTGGCGTTAACTAAAAACGAAAATACTTTGTCTTGTAAGTCAGTTGGAAGAGGGGGGGGGGGGGGGGGAAGAAGTTGAATTGGAAGTTATAATTTGTCTAATGCAATCCTGCGATGTCAAATGAACGCATTTTGTAGTATGTTTTCAAAATGCAAGAAGATATAGACATAAAACAAAAACGATGTGAAATTAGAGAAACATAATATTTTTGTTATAATGGGATGCACTTTACTTGAGACGTAAAATAGAGGGCGCTACTATCTTTAAATTTTCTAATGGAAAGTAAAGTCATTTGAAAGATATTTTGATTTTATTTACGTCCAAGCAAACAGTTTTAACTATTTTTTGTTTTTACAAAAATTACATTCTAGATAATCCTCGTGTGCCGCAATAATCCTAGAAATGTTAGGTAATAAGCTTTTTTTTTGCCGAGAAGTTATGAAAAATTTAATACGACAAGTGGTTTTTAAATCATCTTTGATATTCCTAATTTATTTATTTTAGTAAATATAAGCGTTTCCTTAGTAATAAACAATAATTGTTATTACGAGAGTTATCAAGAATGTAACTTATTAGTAAAGGTCCAGAACATGTCTGTATAAGAACAAAGTATCAGCTACAAAAAAATTGCCATTTGTGCAGTGTTAAATCCCTCTAACAGTAAAAAATTACTTAAATTTATAAAAGATACTGACATTTATCCTGTACTAGCCAAAATGTTAATTATCCATTGTATACTGTTGTAAAAAACAGCATTTATAAGGTATTATACCTCCGGTAATGATCCTTTGAGGTTGAAGCGGTAAATAAAAAAAAGACTTTAACCTACTTTATGAATTTATTTCATGTAATTTTTGTAAAAACATAAAAACCTAAATCTGTTTACATGAACGTAAAAATGTAGAAAATTTCTTTCAAATGAGGTATCACATGACCCTACTTTCCATTGGAAAATTTAAAGCTGTAACTCCCTCTATCTTACGTTTCTCAAGTAAAGTGCATCTCGTTATAACAAAAATATATTATTATATATCTTGAGTTTTACCTCGTTTCTGTTTTGTCATTTTTTTTTATTTAGAAGTTAAAATAGAGGATGGTAAAATTTTATAAAATCCTAATAACATAAGTATCATTTGTTACCATTTAATATATATATATATAGAATAGGTGTTTTATAGTTAACTTTTTGACTATCTCGAAATCTAATATGTTAAAATTTTAAGTTACGATAAGCAATTGAAAATTTCAAATAAGCAAAGAGAAAATTATTCAAGGAAGCCCGAGAGAGCTCGAGAGAAACGAGAAATTTTTGTCGAGAGATGACACTCTCTCGTCTCGTCTCGAATCTGTTTTCAAGAGAAAATGTCTCTCTCGTCTCGTTCGAGACGAGACAAGACGAGACGAGAGACGAGAATATCTCGTCCAGCGGCATCACTAATCGGCATCGACTACTAAGGCCATAGGAAATAGTAGTTGTAAGACTAAAATCAAGTGACAATATGTATTGATAATTTCTTCGCTATGTGCACTTAGCACATGACGGCCATATGCCTTGGTACCAACGCTTATGAACCTGTTACGTTGAGTTTCACTTAAATATGTGTGGTAAATTGCCTAACCCTTCTGATATAATCCTATTATTTATATTTCTCTCCTAGGGACATCTCATACTATTTACTATAACATTATATTTTACTAGAGCTATAACCATATTTAATTTTATATCTGGTTGTTTTAAGCGAGATTGTTAATATGGCTATGTTTGATTTAGAATAAGAAACGAAGTATTACTGACATACTTCAAATCGAACTGGTGCCCGTAATTTTTAGCTTGATTAAAATAAATTTTGGTACTAGACGGACCACACCTTTCTTGAGTCAGAGTGAAACCGGCTTCCAGAGGTTATTCATCAGGGAGTCCAGATTTTTTATTTAGTGGCAACAATTGGACCTGAATGTGGACTGAGTTCTACTGTAAATTCCGATGTTATATCCAATATTTTACGGTATTTTAGTTTGATTATTCTATATATATATTGATATAGATACATCCTTTTTCAGTCTCTGGTTCCAATCAACAAAAATCTCAATTATTGGGGTAGGTTCAACAAATCTAAAATATATTATAAAATTAGTAATAAAAATTAAAACAAAAATGACTCTTTGTTTTCTTCCTTCTTCTTGCTCTGAATTCAACTCTGCCTATCTCTATTATCTTTTCTTGTTACTGCCATCTCTAATCTTCTGCCTGTCTCTACCTGTACACTTATTACTTCTTGTGAGCTGTCCTCTAACGTCTCTACTTGTCACTGCTTGTCTCTGCTTATCTCTGCTTGTCCCAGCTTTTAATTTATTTTCTTCTGCTTTATGATTTCATAAATAGAACTTATATACCTTCTTTTTTAATTCTGTTTTATTCATATAACCAATTTCAGTACATTTCAATAATCCATGATTATTTATTTGTAACTTTACATTTAATGTTGTCTTTCTAAAATTCCAATCCCCCTCTGACAGTTTTCATCCCCACTGACAATCAATAATTAATGAAAAATCCTTTCAACGTGTTGAGAATAGTTAGAACTTTTTTTATTTCCCAAAAAATGTTGAACAAGACAAACATACTCATTCCATGCGTTTTTCTCAATTTCTGTATCGTGTCAGTAAATTTTTTAACTTTTATTATTGATCTTATCTTAGGCCCATCGAAAATTCCAGTTTTTATCTTTTCTACACTCAGTTTTGGGAATTTTTTTGATAGAAATAGAAAACAATTCCTTTATATGCAACGGAGGAAAAATTATACGATCTCTTGTAGTTGGGTTTATTACGTTTTGTTGTCCTGGAACTAGATCTTTCCGAGTTCTTAACCCAATGTTGATTTTTAGCTCTACTATCCCACAAGCAAAGAAAACAAGGATACTTTGTGTAACCACCTTGCTGGCCAATCCAGTTATTTTCCACCTATATAATTTTTTCCAAAACCAGAGCAATAGTTGTATATTCTTCTTTTACTTTTGTAGAATGTGCAATAGGCAACGATCCTAATTTATTCCCATTGTGTAAGAGAACACATTTTAGTAGGGTTATGATGGACAAATAATAGTATTTTTAACAGACATGGTATTTGTGAACAGGTTGTTATTTCTATGTGTTTATAAAATAACAGACCTGTTAAAAATAACAGAAGTTGTCAATCATAACCCCCTAGACTCCGGTTTGACGACCGCCACTCACTAGAAAAATAATTTTGTAATCCCATTGCAGCCATCAATCCAGGTACATCTCTACAAAATACGAAATTGTCTTCATCAGCAAAATATTTGAGGAAATTCTGTTCTCTTGTGCGGTAATAAGAAATTTTAGTTTCTTTCGTTACCAATTTTCTTTCTTTTAGCCTTGAAGCCAAAATTTCTGAAGCTGACTTTGACAGTCCCAGATCTCTAATTAAGTTGTTTAAATCTCCGAGCAATTGCTCGGAGGTTTAAATCATCTTGATTGAATGGTTTAGGCGTTCCCAGGTCGCATTCAAAATCACTGTCACTACTGTCGTTTTTCGTCTCAAAATCTTCTGGATCTTCCTGTAAAGTACCAGATTGAGGTTCAGGTGTAGACTTAGGGCTTAGGACACGTCTATGTGCCAATTGTATGGAACTAAAGGCATGTTTTGCATACCTTTTGCGGAATACAAGGCTTACTTATTGTTCATTTCCAACGAGTACCCAAAGTAATTTTTGTAAGCCTCATTTACGAACGTTGTCACATTTAAACGGTATTCTATAAATACATACTCTCCGCAAATGAAACAAAAATTGTTTGAATCATTCAGACATACTATTCTTGACGATTCCATATCAAATTACAAAATAAAACAATAATTCAAACAAGAAAGATAATTTCACTATTTTCTTATTAAATGTTTCCCTAAAATACCAAAAGATCATTTCTTAAGAATTCTGAAATTGAGTTTTGTACAACAGAGGGGTCGTTTAATAGGATTATAAATTAATGGTATTTTCAAATAAAATTAAATATGTATAATAATTCAATAATTATTAGCTTTGTTCGCACAAGCAAACTTTCAACTAATAAGAAATTTTTTTGTGAGCATGTTCAAACTATTTTTGGTTTTAACCTAATTGCCAATTGTTTGTTCTGCGAATGCTTAAAAATCATTGTTGACTGAATGTGCTGAAAGGTAAAGTCCCACTGAAAACTGTAGATCTCTAGGTTATGTTTTATTTCTTTTAATCTTTCAACGCTTCTCGGCAATCTCGGCTACAATATTTGAGATTTTTGAATTTGGCCTTTTTATAATTATCGTCGTTAAATAAAAGTTAAATATTTAAAAATAAAAATATTTATCTGAAGCAATTTACGCAATGGAAGGTAAGTTCAGTGATATGTGTTTTAGGTAAAATACCTGTTACAATTTTGTTGTTTGTTGTTTTAGAAACTCCCTTGGCAAACCCCCCTGAGTCGTGCTCTAGAGAAGGTAGAAGTTTCATATGGACTGCTGTAACAACTCGAATGTTACTAAATCATTTCAATACAAGGAAGCTGGTGGGAACATTAAAAATTAGAAATTTTAAAAAATGTGGAAAGTTATTGACCAAGAATTTAAAAAAGAAAACATTTATGTGACGTCCTTAAACTGTGAAAACAGATGGCGAGTTCTAGATCAAAATTATAAAAAATATGTAGATAACAAGAAGCA